TCTTTACATTGGAATTAGAAAAATTTTTACAAAAGAAAAATTACAAACCTAATAAAGTAGATGGTACTTAATCAGTTTGAACTTTTCCAGTTCAAAAGACACAAAAGTCAGGAAAATAAGTCAGGAAAATAAAAAAGCATGGAGAAAAATTTTGTTAAACATATATCTGACAAATGACTTGTATCCAGAATATATAAATAGCCATTATAAGACCAATAAAACAAATAATCAAATTTACAAAATGGAAAAATTTTTGAATGCATATTTCACTAAAGTAGATATACAAATTTTAAACATGAAAATTTGTTCAACATTACTAATCAGCAAATACAAGTTAAAAGATACCTGCATTCATATGTTTATCTCAGCACTATTCATAATAGCAAATATATTGAATCAGCTTAAAAGTCCATCAGTGGATGCCTGGATAAAGAAAATGTGGCATATATACACAATGGAATACTATTCATCCATAAAAAGAATGAAATAATCTTCTGAAGCAATATGGATGGAACTGGAGGTCTTTATCCTAAATGAAACAAGCCAGACACAGAAAGACAAATATTACATGTTCTTATGCATAAGTGCATACTAAAAATGTGTACACATGCATGTAGAGAGTAGAATAATAGGCAATAAAGATTCAGAAGAGTTAGGGGGTGAGAAGGGGGTTGAGGATGCCTGAATACAAGGTATATAAAAACATTTGTTGAAATATTGAACAAATATGACAACACAGATCTTACGTTCTTTGCACCATTCTGAATTCACTTTCTAACTGTATTTACTCTCTTTCAATTTTACTACCCTCAGTGCTCTCACATCTGTGTTCTGTGCTCATCTTTCATTAGGATTTTGTTGGTTTACTTCAAAAGTTGGTTTGTCCCAATCTCTTTCTGCCACTGTTGTTGGATAGCCTTATTAGTTACTTTTAATAACTTTCAGGGATTTGCATTATTTGCATATGTTCTCAGAGATAATCTTACCTCCCTATGCAGACACTTTCACTGCAATTACAGGAGTTGAGATCATGGAATCCCAAACTGTTATCTTAAGTTCAGATATCCCCTTTTACACACCAGCACAGATACTGGCCTGGCACCCACTGTTTGCAAGGCAAATCCAAATTGGTAAACAGGTTTTCTTTTCAGATAAGCATTTGATAATTAGAAATAATTTATCTCAGATAATTTAGAAATACTTTTTAAAAAATCAGATCTTTTGGGTTATAATTTTAAAAATGCAATGTTTGAAGATGAGTGCTAGCTAGGGAGATAGATAGGTAAGTACTGTATATGGAATCAAGTGTTATCAATGGGTAAACGGATATAGACCATGTGGTATATATAAACAATGACCTATCATTCAGTCATAAAAAAAGATGAAGTCCTGTGATTTTCAACAACATAGATGGAACTGGAATTCATTATTCCACCAAAATAAATCACTGTCACAGAAAGACAAATACTGAATGTTCTCACTCATATATGGGAAATAAATATCTTGATCTCACAAACATAGAGAATAGAAGGGTAGACACCAAAAGTAACAAAAGGGTAGGTGGGGAAAAAGAGGTTGAGGTAGAGAGGTTTGTTATAGGTACAAACAGTTATATAGAAGGAATAAGTTCTAATGTTTAATACCAGACTAGGGTGACTAAGCAACAATAGTTAGTATATTACTTTTTTTTAAAAGCAGGATTTATTGAGAGTACAGAAAAGCTCCCACAGTGGGAGGTGACCCGAAGGGGTTGTCGGTATATTTCAAAGAATTATAATAGAAGATTGAGATGATACCAACACAAAAAGTGAGAAACATTTAAGATGTTGGATAACCCAAATGTGCTTGCTTGATTATTAGACGTTGCTTGCTGATATCAAAATATCATCTATACTCTATAAATCTGTATCACTTTTATGTATCCATAGCAATTAAACTTTTTAGAAAAATTAAAAAGTAAACAACAATATTGTCAAGCAAGCATAGTGTGTCTCCTGATCTAATATACTAAAAAACACATTACTTCTGTGGTATGTTTGCTGAAATATACGTAAACTAAACCTAATCATGAGGGTGCCACACTACACATCGTCTGAAGAAAAATTTACAGAATAAATGTTATTTCAAAAATTAGTAAGAAAAAGGCTTTCAGAGAAGAGTGAGAAAGTTTCAAATCAATAGAGACTAAAGATACATGAGAAATAATCTTGGTATTTAGTATTGAGCTGGAGAAATAGCTGTAAGATGTTAATAGAACAAAGAATATTTGAATATGGTATGTGAATTACAAAATACTATTGTATCCATATTATATTTCATGATTCATATCTTTGTGCTCAGGCTACAAAAGATAATGTCTATTTATTTAAGAAATATTCACTAAAGTATTCATTGTTCAAGTGCGGCAATGTTCCCAACTTACTTTCAAGGTTTTCCAAACAATTAGAGAGAGGATAGATTAAATGATTGATAGAGATATATCCATGAAACTGAAGGTATTATCTTCCTTATATAAATAAAATATAAACAAATCATATAGTAAATTATACTTCATGGTCCATAATGGAAATATTCTTTTTTTTTTAGTTGGAATCTCACTCCGTCGCCCAGGCTGGAGTGCATTGGCACACTCACGGCCACCCCAGCATCAACCTGCTAGGCTCCAGCAATCCTTCCGCCTCAGCCTTCCAAGTAGCTGGAATTACAGGCATGCGCTACCACACCCAGCTAATTTATTTATTTATTTATTGTAGAGGCGAAGTCTTGCCAAGTTGCCCAGGCTGGTCTCAAATCCATGGGCTCAGGCAATGCACTTGCCTCCCAAAGTGCTGGAATTACAGGCTGAGCCACCAAGCCTGGCCTGGAAATATTCTTATGGTATTAGGAAGAAAAGTAGGGTGGTTGCTCTTTGCATTCTTATTCAGTTTAATACTGGAGTTCCTATTTGTGGAAAAAGGTAAGACAATGAATATGTAACTTTTGGAAAATAGGAAATAAAGGTGTTTTCCTGACCAATTAAAAACAATTCCTCAAGTGTCATTGTTACTATAGATCTAATAATGGCTATCCAATATACTATTTCAACACATTCTGGCTCTCCCCAATTTCATCTTACATTCTGCTCTTTTTTCTCTTTTACATAGAAACATAATATAACATGTTCCTCAATCTTACAGACCAATTGCTTACTTTCTGTTTCCATGAACTGCAATGTGAGTTCCATGAGGATAAGGCCATATATATGTCCCATATTCCTTGAAACACACCTGAAATACATAAGGTATCATATAAATATTTGTTGAAATAAAAAACAAATATTACAACACTTTAACATTTAAAACATTTTATTTTTAGGAGGTACACATGCATATTTGTTACATGGACATATTGTGTAATGGTGGGGATTTGGTCTCGGGTGGCCCATTCCCCAGATAGTGAACATTGTAGCCCGAAGGTAGTTTCTGATCCCTAATCTCCCTTTCCCCCTCCCCTTGTTAGTATAACATGGTTTTTAGCGTTCATTTGCAACACACTGAATATACTTTCTAACTCTACTGACTTAATCTAGCTTCCTTCAATTTAACTACTCTCAGTGCTATCAAGACTTGAAATGCATCATATTTTTCAGTCATTAAATTCACTAAAAATCCTGGCTTGCTATGTGCTCAGTTCCCCCCCCCCCCATTAGACATGTGTTTTATGCTCATCTTCCATTGGGATTTTGGTTGTTTCTTTCAAAGTTTGGTTCCACCATGTCATTCTTCCATTCTTGTTGGATACGTTTATTAAACACTTTTAATAGCTTTCAAAACTTGCACTATTTATAATGTTCTTATAAATAATCTCAATTCCTTATTCAGGCACTGTCACTGCAACTACAAGTGAAATGATAATAACTCCCAGGACAGAGATGAGATCATGGAATTCCAAACTCTTAACTTGGGTTCAGACGCCCTCTTTATACACTTGCACAGATGCTGGTCTGGCACACACTGTCCACAAAACAAATCCAAAATTGGTAAGTGTTTTTTCTTTTTTTTTTTTTGAGTTGAAGTCTCACTCTGCTGCCCAGACTGGAGTGCAATGGCCACTCCTGGCCACTGTATCCTCGACCTGCTGGGCTCCGGCGATCCTTCCATCTCAAATAAGTATTAGATTCTTAACACTTCTTGTAGAAAATTCATGAATAGCTTTTTTCTAAACTCCATCTGAGGTAGAAATTTTTAAAAATCTTTTATTTGCTAGATAGATGATAGGTAGACAGATATTAACAGATGATTGATAAAAACAGATTACAAAAAAGAGATGCTTTTGAAGGTATCTACAGCCACCTCACCATCATTGCATATATGCTATTAACCTATTCTCTTCCCATTTTTAGTCTCTCTGAAACACCTGATTGCTCCTTACTAAATACAATGTCCAATACCATTTTATTTTATTTTTGAGTTGAAGTCTCACTCCGTAGCCCAGGCTGGAGTGCAGTGGCACACTCATGGCTACCACATCCTCGACCTGCTGGGCTCAGGCAATCCTTCTGCCCCAGCCTTCCAAGTTGCCGGAACTACAGACGCGCACTACCGTGCCAGACTAATGTTTTTATTTATTGTAGAGACGAGGTTCCGCCAAGTTGCCCAGGCTGTTCTCGAACCCTCAGGCTCAGTCAATCCACTTGCCTCGGCCTCCCAAAGTGCTGGGATTCCAGGCTTAGCCACCGAAACTGGCTGCTCCAACACACAATTTTAATATTAAACTCCTCAGGACACAAACACGTGGGAAGTAATAAGATAGTGGAAATACACTCCCACCACAGAGTGGATACTTGATATTTGTGTGCCAGTATTTTTCGTGTGAGTTGTTTTGTTTTCAGGACATGTGGTGATAAATGAAGACTTTAATAATACGTCTAATTTCTATCGTCAGTGGAAGGCTGTTAATAAAATCTCTCATTAGTATCAGTAAGAGGCATCCATATTTGTCATTTAAAAGGAGGAAAGTCGGCTCCCTGCCCGCCGCCCGCGGTCCTCGGTCGGTTCTTTGGTTAGTCCCCTGTCTCGTCTTTAGCTTACCGGTCTTCATCTCCGAGCTTGCGACTCGCGAACCAGGGGTCTTCGGCGAGGAGAGGCCAGACTCAAAGTCGTCGCTTGAGCCTTTCCTCTGAGAAGTTCAAGGTACTTTGATAACTTCTGACACACAGGCCGTGCATCTGTAAGCAATGGCAGCTATCCGGAAGAAACTGGTGATTGTTGGTGATGGAGCCTGTGGCAAGGCATGCTTGCTCATAGTCTTCAGCAAGGACCAGTTCCCAGAGGTATATGTGCCTACAGTGTTTAAAAACTATGTGGCAGATACGAAGTGGATGGAAAACAGGTAGAGTTGGCCTTGTGGGACACAACTGGGCAGGAAGATTATGATCGTCTGAGGCCGCTCTCCGAACCAGATACCGATGTTATATTGATGTGTTTCTCCATCGACAGCCCTGATAGTTTAGAAAACATCCCAGAAAAATGGACTCCCGAAGTCAAGCATTTCTGTCCCAACATACCCATTATCCTGGTTGGAAACAAGAAGGATCTTCGGAATGATGAGCACGCAAGGTGGGAGCTAGCCAAGATGAAGCAGGAACCGGTAAAACCTGAAGAAGGCAGAGAGATATGGCAAACAGGATTGGTGCTTTTGGGTACATGAAGTGTTCAGCAAAGACCGAAGATGGAGTGAGGGAAATTTTTGAAGTGGCTACGAGAGCTGCTCTGCAAGCCAGGCGTGGGAAGAAAAAATCTGGGTGCCTTGTCTTGTGAAACCTTGCTGCAAGCACAGTCCTTATGTAGTTAATTTTGAAGTGCTGTTTATTAATCTTAGTGTATGATTACTGGCCTTTTTCATTTATCTATAATTTACCTAAGATTACAAATCAGAAGTCTTTTTGCTACCAGTATTTAGAAGCCAACCATGATTATTAATGATGTCCAACCCGTCTGGCCCACCAGGGTCCTTCTGACATTGCTCTAACAGCCCTCTCTGCACTCCCACCTGACACATCAGGTGCTAATTCAAGGAATTTTTTAACTTCTTGTTTCTTTCTAGAAAGAGAAACAATTGGTAACTTTTGTGAATTAGGCTGTAACTACTTTATAACATAACATGTCCTGCCTATCATCTGTCAGCTGCAAGGTACTCTGGTGAGTCACCACTTCAGAGCTTTACTCCTTAACAGATTTAATTGGCATAGCTCTGAGGTGGTTATCCAGTTTTTTGAAAATGTGCTCATCCAGAAAAGCCCAAGTCCGTGCAGCTGTGGCAGAGTTACAGTTCTGTGGTTTCGTGTTAGTTACCTTATAGTTACTGTGTAATTAGCGCCACTTCATGTATGTTACCAAAAATAAATATATCTACCCCAAACTAGATGTAGTATTTTTTGTATAGTTGGATTTCCTAATACCGATATTTGTCATCTCTAAAGAAAGTGTATTGGTTTTTTTAAAAAAGAAAGTGTATTTGGAAATAAAGGCAGATGGAAAATTCATTTTTAAAATTCCATTTTGTTACTTTTTTCTGATAAAAGATAGCCGTATGACCCCTTTTCAGCCCCACATATTTCAGTACCCCTCGCCAGAGCTGGGCTAAGTAAATAGGAATTGGTTTCACACCTGAGGCAATTAGATATGGAATTAGATATGTCTCACCTGGACTGCAGCATCTGGCTCTAATTCACAGTGCTCTTTTTTCCTCACTGTATCCAGGTTCTCTCCCAGAGGAGCCACCAGTTCTCATGGGTGGTACTCGGTTTCTCTCTTCTCTCCAGCTGACTAAACTTTGTGTCTGTGCTAGTTAATTTTTCCAACTACTAATAGAATAAAAGCAGTTTTCTAAAAAAAAATAAAAATAAATAAAAAGAGGAAAGTCATACAAAGTGAAATGTGGCAAATAACTTTATGAGTTATGAAGAAATCAGGTTCTTTAGGAGTCTTAAAATACACATGAAATACTGAGATGGAACCACATTTTAAAATATACCTTTATTGTCTTATTGTCACATTCATCTGACATTCTCATTTCCCTCTAAGAACCAAGGGCTGCCCATCTTACTTGATTCAGAAATAATTATATTTTAATCAGATGATTTGTCTGTATATATATCTGTAATCTAACTAAAAATTATCTCTGACTATTATGTTGTTTCATCCCAACAATATAGACCATTTCATAAGATAACTGTTTTTCAATCAAAAAAACCTCTGACCAGACACCCTGTTTGGCAGGCATATCTACTTTCCCTGTCTTTGATAGTGGGGTCCCCTAATTGAGATCCTTCCTGTATCTCCATAGAACTGCTATGATCAGAAAAAATTATGAGTCACTTTTTTTTTTTTTTTGAGTCAGATTCTCACTCTGTCACCCAGGCTGGAGTGCAGTGGCATGTTCATGGCCACTACAGCCTTGATCTGCTGGTCTCAGGCGATCTTTCTGCCTCAGTCTTCCAAGTAGCTGGAACTACAGGAACATGCTACCATGCTAGGCTAATTAATTTTTTGATTTTCTGTAGAGATGAGGTCTCAACAAGTTGCCCCGGCTGATCTTGAACCCGTGGGCTCAGGCAATCCTCTCACCTTGCCCTCACAAAATGCTGGAATTATAGACATGAGCCACCATGCCCGGCCAGGAGTCACTTTCACCTGCCAACGACTACAGTTCTTTAAGGCTAGGGTGATCAACAATACAGCACTATCAAGATTCTCAGTCTCCTTTTTATGAAAACCTTTTAGATTCACACACACCATTTGTTGACAAATGTATTCCTTATTTAAATTCCCTTGAGATTCATCTTCATGATGATTCCTGATTCTTTTCTTTAACAGTCCTCTTATTTTGGTTTATTGCTTTAGTTGTCATTTATTTCCATCTGCATTTTGTTTCCTATTTTTCCATTTCACCCTTATCAGTTATGCATTTTACTATAAATATTTTGAAGAAATCCATGTGAGTATAAACTTAAAGTGACTATTCACTTTGACACACCACTTCCTTGCCCTTTCTAAACTTTGGAAAGATTCTTCAGACAGATTTTCATCATTGTACATATCCAGTAAGAGCTCTGAATCTCCTTTCTGCTTGAGCTAATGCTGAGAGAATTCCTTTTGTGCATTCCCTTTGTACGAGATCCTAATAGATGTCCATGAAATGCATAAGATTTCTAATAGTGGGTTCATACATCTAGGATGTATGTCCCTGCAGGTTGATGTGCGTTCATTGAGCTTCACTTGTCTTCCATAAAATTTAAATTATTTGTATTGAATAATTTTTACAATACAATGAAAATGCGGAACAAAGATTGCCAAGAAGGTAAGTCTTGTTTTTCTTTTCTTTTTTTTTAAGTTGGAGTCTCACTGTATCACCTAGGCTGGAGTGCAGTGGCATGCTCATGGCCACTGCAGTCTCGACCCGCTGGACTCAGGCAATCCTTCCGCCTCAGCCTTCCAAGTAGCTGGAACTACAGGAGCACACCACTATGCCCAGCTGATTTATTTATTTATTTATTATAGATACAAGTTCTTGCCAAGTTGCCCAGTCTGGTCTCAAACCCCTAGACTCAGGCCATCCTCTCGCCTCAGCCTCCCAAAGTGCTTGGATTACAGGCTTGAGCCACTGTGCCCAGCCTCTTGTTTTTCCTAATCCAAAATAATGCACAACTTTTGGTTTTTTAAAAAATGCCATTGAGGTAAAGAGGGGGAATCAAACAAAATGAGTTATGGAAGAGATATCAAAAATGTGTGTGAATATTCTGCATTCAATGTGAATTTAAATCATCTAATATTTAGGCCACCTGAAAAAAACCTTCTAATTATAAGTTATTCCAATTAAATATGCTTACTTTTAGGAAGAAAAATGTAAAATCTGCACCAGAGAAATATGACATAAAATTAGCCAAATTAATAATGTGTTGAAGTTAAAATAATAAAATATCATTCTAACATATTGACATTTAAAAATTAATTCTGAATCATAACTTTTATAATTTTCATCTTTTGGGTACAGCTTGTATACTTTGTCTGCATTTGTTTTAGACTTTATTCATGTAATTAGTCATTGCTAAGGTTACGGTCAGTAATTTGCACTTGTATGTTCTGCCGGAGTCCAGTTCCAGCAGGTTAGGGTTTCCTGAAGGAGGAGCAGCGTTGACGTAGGAGAAAACTTGGACACTGACTCTGTTGTTGTGCAGGACAGATGCCAATTTATTTTTCTCTCCAAGTTTCTTTTATACCTTAAGTTACATACAGTTTGACCTTCAAACCCGGATATGTTATCTTAGTCTCACATCTAATCCATTTTTGGTTAATAACTCACACAAGGACAGGCAGTATATTTTTAACATCTGGTTTTGATCATTGTTCCAACCACGATGAGATATTACCTGTCTTTTTTCAAATTTATGAGAGTCTGTCTACCCTAGAAATCTTCAAAGCATGAAACTATTAACCTTAACCACCTGTTTTATTATCAAATCTTCAAAGCATGTAATTTTTTCACAATGTTTTTTTTTAATTATTAACTTTAACTATCTGAATTTTTAACAACCTAATGTCTAATTTATGTTTTTCTAACACTTTATCATTTTTAATGCAATTATAAAACCTTTTTTACTATTTCAACTTTTCCATATTAATCATCTACTCTAAAATGCAAAAAGTTTGCATACCATGCAAATTTTAGGGCCAAGCATCTTTTTTCTTGTATGAATGGCCACACCTAAGATTAAAACACTCATAATCATCACAACAACCTTTTTCATTATGCTATAAATACCAATATAGTACTTCACAATTAGCAAAATGAAAACAACTTCTCCAAAGCTTCTCTAATTAGCAACCAACTTAAAGAACTAAAATAAATAAGCCTATTATGATACCAAACATGATGTTTATAATTTGCATCTCTAGTCCCCTGACAGGGATAATAAGAGCCCGGATGCACATTCAACCCAAGGCTCCCAGGGGTAGGAGAGTGCTACCTGCAGTTTTTAATCATTAAGTTGCGGGCTCAAGCACCAAAAGGGTGGAGACGAGGGGAACTCAGGTAGAGGATCATAACTAGGTAGAAGGAATTTCCACCTCACTGATCACTTGTTTCTACTAATAAATTCTTTTTTTTTTTTCAGTTGGAATCTCACTCTGTTGCCCAGACTGGAGTGCAGTGGCCGCTCCTGGCCACCGCAG